ACACACGACATACACGCTCTCCTTCGGGGCGGGGGCAGCCCCAGGGTCTCCAGGACAGACAGCGGGGGGGACGGGGGGAGGGACGGGACGGGACAGACACGGGACGCGCTCTCCTTCGGGGCAGGGGCAGCCCCAGGTTCCCCAGCACAGACAGCAGGGGGGGGGGGGAAGGACACACGGGACGCGCTCTCCTTCGGGGCAGGGGCTCACCTGCTTCATCTTGGCCAGCTCCCGGCGCGTGTGCTCGTCGTTGCGCAGATCCTTCTTGTTGCCGACCAGGATGATGGGGACGTTGGGACAGAAATGCTTCACCTCCGGGGTCCATTTCTCCGGGATGTTTTCTGCACAGGGGCGGGATCAGCATCAGGCTCCCAGACCAGGCCCTGCCCAGCTCCCCCTGCCTGCGCTGGCAGCCTGGACCCCTGGGCTCTACCCGGCACTGGGAAGGGAGCGGGGCCTAATGGTCTAGAGCAGGGGGCTGGGGACCAGGACTCCTGGGTTCTCTCCCATGTGCTGGGAAGGGAGTGGGGGCTAGTGGTTAGAGCAGGACCCAATACCACCAGCCTCTTGGCCAGACATGCCAGCTCAGGGCCTGTAGCAAACTCGGAAGCGACTGTGTGACCTGGCCACTGCAGGGGGCTGAGCCACAGTTCACCTGGGCACCCTCTGCCCGGCACTGAGATCCGGGCTCTGGCTGCGGCCACACGGTGACGGGGGACCCAGGTGGATCTCCCCAGCGCTCACCCAAGCTGTCAGGGCTGTCGATGGAGAAGCACATGAGGATGACGTCCGTGTCAGGGTAGGACAGGGGTCTCAGGCGGTCGTAGTCCTCCTGGCCAGCCGTGTCCCACAGCGCAAGCTCCACCTGCGTGAGACAAGGGTGGCAATGGACAGCCGCCCACCTTGGGTTCCAGTTCCCACTGGAAAGTCACTGGCTTGGGGTGGCCAGACCCCGTCACGGGTCCTGAGCCAACTGCTCCTCTCCCCACTCTCGGGCACCCTGCTTTGTCTCAGTCCTCCAGCCACCACCACACAGGGCCGGAGGTCCAGACAGGGCCTGGGCTGCAGATGCCGGCAATCCACCACCATCATGAGAAGGGGGGAGGGATCGCTCAGTGGCCTGCTAACCCAGGGTTGTAATCTTTGAGGGGGCCACTTAGGGATTGGGGCAAAAATCAGTACTTGGTCCTGCTAGCGAAGGCAGGGGGCTGGACTTGGGGACCTTTCAGGGGTCCCTTCCAGCTCTGAGATTCAGCACCTGCCGGCCTGTTCTCACGGAGGCGTGACAACGCTACCCGGCCCCAGCCAGCTTCCCCCCTCCAGCAAAGTGCTGTTTGTTCAGAACAAAAGTGAGCCGGAGAGACCAGACCTTGCCACAGCTCAGACACTGGGCTGTCCCG